ACAGAGTCAGACAGACAGGACTGGCTGAATCAACTACCTCTGACTCAGTACTCTTGCTGCTGGTGGCAGAGAATTAATGGAGATTAATAAACCAAGCCTTTAGGCAAAATAAACTACAATTCAAAAGTGCCACAAGATTGATCAGTTATAAAATGCTCATAAACTTCCTGAGTTGTCCTTCAAGTACCTCACCAGGTGCAGATTATGCTCAGTAAAATTCACTTGACTGATAAACTGACCTTTCACCACAGGCAGTCAAGAACAGGAATCCCTTGCCAGGACTTGAACCAGGGTCCAAATGCTTCCTGATGGGTTCCATCTTTGTTCCAACATCCTTTGTGGTGGTATCTGTCTTGGTTACTTACTGTGCACACACCTGATTTTCAAAACCTCACTTTTTTCTCAGAAATCCCACCATTTGATAAATAAAGATGATGTCTTCTCCCCACCCCCCAAACTAAAACCCTTTATAAACACTAAGAAATCCTTCGTTCAGTGAGAGACTGGAGGCTAGCATAGGCAGAAGCCTCTCTGTGTCTCACCCTCATGAGAGCCCCTCCCCTCTCCCTTCTCTTTAATAGACTTTGGTTTGTGTGGACATTTTGCCTCTCATGTACAAGTTTTTGCCAGTAGAAGACAAGGACCTTTGCTCTGTGTCTCAGGTCCCCACCCCAGGTAACACAACGCTTCTGGCAGTCCATGGCATTTTCAGTATTCTTCACCAACACCATAATTCAAAAGCTTCAATTCTTCTTTGTCTTCCTTATTCATTATCCAGCTTTCACTTGCATATGAGGCAATTGGAAATACCATGGCTTGGGTCAGGCACACCTTAGGCTTCAAAGTGACATCTTTGCTCTTCAACACTTTAAAGAGGTCTTTTGCAGTAGGTTTATCCAGTGCAATATGACATCTGATTACTTGACTGCTGACTCCATGAGAGTTGATTGTGGATCCAAGTAAAATGAAATCTTTGACAACTTCAATCTTTTCTCCATTTATCGTGATGCTACTTATTGGTCCAGTTGTGAGAATTTTCATTTTCTTTATGTTGAGGTGTAGTCTTTAATCTTCATCAGTAAGTGCTTCGAGTCATCTTCACTTTCAGCAAGCAAGGTTGTGTCATCTGCATATCACAGGTTATAAATGAGTGTCCCTCCCATCCTGATGCCGCATTCTTATTCATATAGTCCAGCTTCTCAGATTATTTGCTTAGTGTGGAGACTGAATAACTATGGTGAAAAGAAACAACCCTGACACATACCCTTCCTGATTTTAAACTATGCAGTATCCCCTTGTTCTGTTTGAATAACAGCCTCCTGGCCTATGTACAGGTTCCTCATAACCACAATTAAATGTTCTGGAATTCACATTTGTTGCAATGTTATCCACACAGTTGAATGACTTTGCATAGTTAATAAAACACAAGTGAACATCTTTCTGGTATTCCCTGCTTTCAGCCAAGGTCCATCTGACATCAGCAATGATATCCCTTGTTCCACATCTTCTTCTGAATCCAGCATGCAGTTCTGAAAGTTCCCTGTCAATATACTGCTGCAATCTATATCATTGCAATATACTGCTGCAATCCAAACAATATTGTTGGATAGTTTCCACATTCTGTTGGATCACCTTTCTTTGGAATAGGCACAAATATCAATCTCTTCCAGATCATTGGCTAGGTAGCTGTCTTCCAAATTACTTGGCATAGACGAGTAAGTGTCTGCAGAATTGCCTCTGTTTCTTGAAACATCTCAATGGGTAGTCTGTCGATTCCTGGAGCCTTGTTCTTCGCTGATTCCTTTAGTGCAGCTTCGACTTCCTCCTTCAATACCTTTTCCTTCTGGTTAGCAGTCAAATGTCTTAGGCACTACACCACCAGAGCTCCCTCAGTCCACAGAGGGAGCCCATTTTGAGTCTTGACATAAATTTAGATGCCATTTAAGTTATTTCTGACCTTTAAACCAACATTGTGGTTATGCATACACAAGTTCCAGAACAAATCTAAGGACTGGCAGTAAGAGAGAGTGTGGTTGAAAGCAGAGTATACTCACAGAAAGCATATGAAAGAGTATGGTTGAAAGTAGATTATGCTCACATAAAGAATTAGGGAACTTGTCTAAGTGTGTCTTTTTCTAATTTCTATTATGTTTGGGGTCCTGGTATTGTTTTGCAGTCATCTTTTGGCTGTAACTCAGACTGTCTTGTCATGAATCTTATCTGGACCACCTAGCCAGGTAGTCAAGTCCCAGAAGCGTCCTGTAACTCTTTTTAATCTTATGTTATGTGCAATCACGGTCCTTTTCCTGCTTCTGTAGTCCTGCCTGTGACAGGGATGAATTTATCTGCCACCAATCAATTTCATGATGATTTCCTTTGTTTTCAATCATAAATAATTAGCTGCATGGTTGTAACTCAGTGGACTTCATTCAGCTTTCTGTATTGTGTATATGCTGATGATTTCTCTCATCCTGCATATACATCCTGATTTTCTTTGTCCTATTTAAGGCTTAATAAAAGTGTCTCTTTTGAAACTGTTTGAATTTGAAGTCTCCTTTTCCATACTATACACATGCCTCACCCTTTCCTGTTCTCAATGAAGGAATTCCATGGAACGAAACAAGAAAAATGTGTTAGTGGTGACTATTTGGAATGGAATCATTTACTTTTCCCAAGATTCTCCCCATTCCTTTCAATATGGGGGAAAAGATACATATACCTGCTTCAGTAGTTTAGGGAAGGGAGCTGGTGGTTCACAGACTGTCTAAGAAACACACATCCATGGCATATACTCATGTGTGCCGCATGTTTTTGCTACCCCAATCCTATTATGGCAGCTCTTTTTTCATAATAAAAGAAAGGGATGGCAGAACTTTTTGCACTAACTTGAATACAGAAGAATTCTACTCCTCCACAGACACCCATAGACTTATTGGGGCGGGATCAGTATATACCATTAAGCCTCCCATAACGATTCAGAAAAAACCAAACTCCCTGCCATCGAGTCGATTCTGACTCATAGCAACTTCTATTAGCTTTCCAAGGCTGTAAATCTTTATGGAACCAGACTGCCTCATCTTTCTTCCATGGGGCAGCTGGTGGGTTTGAACCACCGACTTTCTGGTTAGCAGCCAAATGCCTCAATCACTGTATCACCAGAGTTCCTTTTCCCATAAAGATTGTTGCTGTTGTTGTTGTTATGTGCCGTCGAGTCGAACCCAACTCACAGCAACCCCTCCTTGGGTTTCCCAGGCAGTATCACTACGGAAGTAGATTGCCCCATCTTCCTTCTGAGGAGTGGCTGGTGGGTTTGAACCGCCAGCCTTCTGGTTAGCAATCAAGCGCCTTAGGCACCCCATAAAGATTACAGCATAGAAAATCCTACGGCACAGTTCTGCTCTGTCACATAGGGTTGCTATGAGTCAGAATCAACTCTGTGGAACCTAGCAAAACAACTAGTCTCAAGTTGTGACCTCTTTAAAATTGCAATTCAACTCCAGACATAGTGGAAGTAATAAGGTGGCCAATACCTTAAGCTTCATAGTAGCTCTCATCTTAAATTATGCTAAAAACATCTCTTCCAACTATTCACTCAGCAAGATCTTTATATGCCAGTTTTAGTCCTATGACTGAAGATATTTAAAAATTCAAACCTATGTCACCCACCTCCATCTGCCTCCTTTTAAAACGCTTCAAAAAATTCTCGCTGCTCAGAGAAAAGCACACAAGTTATTATACAGGACCTTGCTGTTTGACCATGCTGTCCCACTCCATCCTCTCTCTCCTCTCCTCCAGCAAAACCATCATCGGCCTTCTCTTCTGCCTCCAACTACACACCACTTCTCCTTCCTGTGGTGGCTTTTCCCCTTTCTCCTAGTTTCACGCCAGTTAATTACTGTTTTCCCTCCCTCAAGGAAATCTTCCCTGACTTATTTAAATGAGATTTGATAGCTGTCTTACCTAGCATTTATCACTATTGCAGTTTTACACATTTTTTGTCTGTCATCCTCACTAGACTGTAAGCGCCTAGAGGGCAAAAAACACGCAGCTAGTGCCTAAGGCACTTGACTGCTAACCAGAAGCCTGGCGGTTCAAAGCCACCAGCCACTCCTCGGAAGGAAGGGGAAGAAAGGTTGGTCAATCTACTTCCCTGGTGATACCGCCTCGGAAACCCAAGGAGGGGTCGCTATGAGTCAGATCTGACTGGAGGGCATATAACAACAACAACAACATCCTGAAACTGCAACTGGATGGCTCCTTAGAAGGGAGAATAGCAGACTTCATCTCATCTATTTTGGTCTTGTGGTCAGAAAAGACCAGTCTCTGGGGAAGGATATTATGCTTGGTAAAGCGTAGGGTCAGAAAAAAAGGGGAACACCTTCAATGAGATGGATTGACAGTGGCTGTAAGGATGAGCTCAAGCATAGCAAGGATTGTGAGTATGGCACAGGACCCAGCAGTGTTTCCTTCTGTAGTACATAGGGTTGCTACGAGTTGGGAATCTACTGACGGTACCTAACAACAATTCCTATCTTGGGGGTGGGGTGGAGGGTGATGTTCACACCAGAATCCTAGTTGTGTGGAAAACCGATGAGCCAAGTGCAGACCACCACCAGTCTAGCCTTCCTTCTCCTTTATAGAAGCCTGGGAAGAAGAAAAAATGGGTATGCTTTAAAGAATGTGAAACGACCCTCAAAAGACATCACATTATTCAAAAGGACAGCGGCAAGTCTTGCTCCCTTCTCAAAGAACGCGGTGGTTGCGTGGTAAGGAACGGAGACTTTAGAATGGAGCTTCTGCCTGACTCAGAAAGGGAAATCGGGGCTGCCGCCTGCAAGTTCCCCAAAACGGGGCAAGGACGGAAAGTCTCCCCAGGTTAAGACCAGAAAAGGCGCAGGGCGGAAAAGCGAGGTAGGGTCAGCCCGCGGGCCCGAAGCCCAGCGCGTCCCCCACGTCCCCATGGGAGCGCGAGCAGGCGGCGGAAGTACTTCATCGCTCACTTCCGGGTGTTGTCTCTTGCTGCTGCCGCGCGTCTCCGGTCTCCCGGCCGCCGCTGCTGCCTCGGGTACTGGAGCCAGGTGCGACGTCACCGCCATGGCCGGCATCAAAGGTGGGCCTTAGGGGCTGGGCAGAGGAGGGCTGGATATCCACTTGGGAAGAGTGTGAGGGAGAGTCCGCGCAGCCCCCTCACGCTGCCTTTACGGCCTGAGCGCGCGACGGGAGGTCCCAGCTCCGGGAGGGGCGACCCCCAACCCCACCCCCACCCCACCCTCGTAATGAATGCACTTGGGCCTGGGAGCAGAGGTGGGCGCGGCCCCTCCTCACCCTTCCATCCCTCAGGAAGGGTGACCAAGAGCCTGACTTCTGTACGTCAGCTCTCACTTTCTGCTGATTTCTGCAGTCTCTCTCCCACCCATGACTACCGTACATGAAGTGGTTCATGGTCTGTTAGGTAGTTCTGATTTGCACCACAAGACACATTTTGCAGGAGTTTGCATCCAAGAGTGAAGTGGTTTTGAGGGAGTTGAGGCCGCTGGAGATAACCAGTTATGGAAAATCACTGTCATTTCCTACTTAAAACCGTGAGATCTTTGGATACTGAGCTGTACTGAGTCCCTCAAGAACGCCCTCGAAGAGTTTAGGGATAGTTCTTTAGGAAACATTGGCGATTCACATCCAATCCCAAGACACTCACACTCTAAACTTCACACGTTTCCACAAACATTTTGATTTGCGAGGTTTTTACTGTAGGATAGACTGTAAGTGGCTCCAAAGTGCTCCTAGTTATCTTCTCTTTACACAGTTTCACATTAAGGCTTTTAAGATTTAAAAGTTTTGTGTTGTTTTCTGTAGATAAAATAGTGTTAAAGTTTAAAGAAATTTTAGCAGGCTCTTTTTATTCCTAACTTTCCCTTAGAATTAAGGTATGTTACATTCTTTCTGTTTGGTAATTTTGTTGTCAGTGTGATTAGGAGCAAACACCATGCAGTGTTTCCAGTTCATTTTTTAACAAGGAGTTGTTTCCTGGCCAGCTGCTAGAAGTGAAGGGCCAGGCAAGCTAGAAGTGAAGACTTTGAAAACTATTTATGCATATATTATTTCCCTTAAGGACAAATTTCGTGAAGCTTTTTTTCCGAAGTCACATTGTACATACCAAAAAAAACCCCAAACACATTGCCATGGAGTCAAATCTGACTCATAGCAATCCTCCTCCTTGGGTTTCTGAGGCAGTATCACTACAGGAGTAGATTGTCCAGCCTTCCTTCTGAGGAGTGGCTGGTGGGTTTGAACCTCCAGCCCTCTGGTTGGCAGTCAAATGCCTTAAGCACTACATCACCAGGCTTTTTTAAATCCTTATGTGAAAGGAACTTATGGTAGAATGCTGTGGTTTTCCAGGATGTTGCATTCTTCCCTGTTCTTCCCCATTTCTTCAGTGTCACTATGACACTGTTATTTAATGTGGGAGCCTCTGGGGAAAATAGTTTTGTAATTTCTTTCTTCAAACCTAAACCCATTGTTTGCCATAGAATCAATTGCAGCTCATAAGACCCTAAGGATAGAGTAGCATTGCCAACCTAGGTGCATATTAATTGGGTGAAAGTGCCTTAGGTTGAGCTTTACTTCCACTTTTGGTTCAAATTGGATTTTCTGGTTGTTATATTGCTTATCAGGAATCTAATATTTCTTACTTCCTGTTGGCCTGTCATCTTTTTATTAGGGAGGAGTTGCTGTAATTGGAGTCCATAGTTTTTTTCTGGAGCTGTGTCAGACTTATAAACAACTCATATTTGCCCTTTAATGTTATATAAATTTGCCCTGACTTTTAAATGATTGAACCAACAAATTCTTTATCATATTCACCTTCACTTGCTGCACATGCAGCTTTTAAATCATCGAAAAGTCTTTGAGCCTTTTCTTAGAATAACCAAACTATAAACCAAACCCATTGACATCAAATCGATTCATAGTGACCCTGTAGGGTTTCCTAGGCTGTAATCTTCAGATCTTTTCTCCCATGGAGCAGCTGGTGGGTTCGAACCACTGACCTTTCAGTTAGCAGCCAGCTTCTTTAGCGGCTTTAACCACTGTACCACCAGAGCAAAAAGAGCTCCTGTCTTGCACTAAAACAAACAAAACCCCCAAACTCATTGCCACTGAGTCATTCTGACTCATAGTGACCCCCATTAGATTTCCAAGGCTGTAAATTTTTACAGAAGCAGACTGTTCTTCTACAGAGTGTCTGGTGGATTTGAACCACCAACCTTTTCATTACCAGCCAAATCCCTTGACTGACCACTACACCACTAGAGCTCCTCCTCTTGCACTAAAAACTAAAACCAAACTCAGCTGCCATCGAGTCAGTTCCAACTCATAGTGACCCCCATTGGGTTTCCAAGGCAGTAAATATTCACAGAAGTAGATTTCCCCATCTTCCATGGAGTGGCTGGTGGGTTTCAACCACCAACCTTCTAATTAGCAGTTAAATGCCTTAGGCACAGCCCCAGCAGACCATATGCATTTGTTCCAAATTATCTACAAAATTCATCTTAAAGACTCTTTGAAACTGATCTCATTTTTAACCCCAGAACTGCCTATATGTTAGGTTTTTCTGTTTACTGCCAGGTTAGGGAACTGATGCTTTCTCTTGCTCTAGTTTCCATTTTCTGTTTTTTAATTTACTGTGCTCCCCATTTGTAATCATAGAACCAGCACCTTGTCTCTGGAGATAATTGTGCTATTCCATCCCTTGCCTGGAGGCTTTGGGAGTAGAAACCAGACTCATCTAAACTTTGCCCAAATATTGCATCACTTAATTACTATATAAATTCTTGGGACAGCAGTTTATATACAAATGATGAAATATATATAAACCAGCCTAGTTGCTGATTTCATAAAACTCTCCAAGTTTTGAAAACACTTTTGAGCAATTTATTTAACTTCATTTCCTTTTGTCTTACCCAGTATTACTGAGAGGTAAGATGGTGCATAAAATTGTTTTTGTTTAGTTTGTTTTGTTTAGTTTCTTGGGCTTCCCCACCCCCCAAGAGATCGTCTTTCATTAACTTTTTCAGCACATGCTCAAAAGAATTAAGACTTTATTTTTTGATGACTAAGAACATAAATGATTCTTTGTTGGTTACCAGGGGTGGGATGGGAGGAGAGAGAACAATGGCAAAATAAAAAATGAAAAAAAAAAAAAAAAAACCCATAAATGATTGGCTCTTTCATGGAACATGTTAAAACTTAATGAGATATCAGGCTTTTTTATTCCTATCTAAGGCTGTTTGCCTCTTGTCGAGATTAATGGAAACTGCCATGCTTTTGAGAATTTTCTACCTGATTTTAAAAAGTTTTCAATCTCCTTTTTTCTATCAGAGGACTGTATGCAGCTCTTCCCCCTATTTCTCATTTGTTTCAATCTGTTGTTGTTTTTGGGTGTGATTGGGTCAGTTTTCGACTCAGTGATGCCATGTAACACAATAGCACTGTTCCATAGGGTTTTCTAGAGTTTTAACTGCCAGGCTTTTGGTTAGCAGCAGGGCATTTAACTGTCGCACCACTAGGGCCTCTTGTTTCGATCTAAGTAACAAAATTTTGTGTCCTGGGAAACAGGTAACAGTGATCACTTCTCAGAAGAAAAACTTGCTTTTCATTTAATTTTGTTCTGAGTGCATGGATTTATCTATAAAATATATAAATAAGCATAGATGATTCTTCAAAATAGTATTTACACTGTTTGAATTCACACACAACAATTGTTCACAAAAACTTTTCTCACAAAAATTAATAAATAACCTCTGAATAAGAGTCTAAAGGTCTATAAAGGTTTAGTTTTTGGGCTTTGTGACATCTATTTTATCTCTTTAGTAACCTTTACTTTTTCCAGAATTCTGACTTACAGTTTCAAAACAAGCCTTCTGAATAACTGAGATGTATAGTGTTTATAGTGGTGAACTTAGCGGTTTGGCAACTACACTTGAAAAAGTGGGTGTGGTTTTTTACTTCATCAGCAGCTACCTATAGTGTCTAGAGAATTGTTTTCATTTTAGATTTTGTCCAACTTTTTTATTTTATAAAAGAAAGAACTGAGATTCACAAATGATTATTGGCTAGTAGAGATGCAATGGTTAAGTGCTCAGCTGCTAACCAAAAGGTCAACAGTTCAAACCCACCAGCCACTTCACAGGAGAAAAGATTTGACAATCAGCTCCCGTAAGTAATGTAGCCTAGGAAACCCTATTGAGCAATTTTACTCTGTCATATGGGATTGCTATGAGTTGAAATCAAATTGATAAGCACACAACACAGTAGGGACTAGAATCCAGTGCTCCTAAAATCTGTACTGTTTCTACTCTGCTTCATCGTTCTGTCTTTTATTCCCCTTGGTTTCCTTTCACTCATTCTGTGGATGTTTATTATTGAGTGTAAAGAGCTGAGACTCCAACATTAACAACAGAAAACTTGCTCTCTGCTTTGATGGAGCAGACAGTTTAGAAGGAAAGAAAGACAAATCAGTGTACAACTATTGCTGAGCCAAGAAGACCTCTGCCCATACATGTCCCTCTGCTTGCAGTTCTTGTCCCCAGATGGCTACATGGTTTACTCCCTCATTTCATACAGATCTCTGCTCAGATTTCACCTCAACAGAGATGCCTTCCTAGGCCACTGTGACTAAAAAAGCACTACTATCTCCTTTCTCTACCTGATTTTTTTCATAGCACTTGACATTTATTTGCTTGCTTTTTTAAAAAATCATTTTATTCTCCCACAAGCATGCAAGCTCCATGACAGCAAGAGCTCTGATTGTTTTCATTGCTATACCTCTAGAATCCAGAATAGCATAACATACTTTAGGTACTCAACAGATATTTGTTGAATGAATGAGTGTGTGAGTATAGAAGGAATTGTAGTCAGGAGGTTTGGCAAAACTTCACCAAGGAAAAGATGATTGCGCTGAGAGCTGAAGGAAAAAGAGGAGTTAACTTGAAGGAAAGAGAAGAGTAGGTAGGACAAGATTGCAAGCTGTGTGTCTGTGAAAGGGCCATGTCTCCTTTACTACCATATCCCCAGCACTTGTTACATATTTGACTCTCAGGAAATATTTCTTGAATGAATGAAAAAATGTCTGAGGTAAAGAAACAAGGTGTGTATAGCCATGTGGGTGAGGGACCTTGCCGTTTACCATGAAAGAAAAGAAAGCCACTTTAACTCAAATGCAGAGGCTAAGGAGTAATATGTGTTAGGAGAGGTTGGCAGGGGCCAGATCATGAAGGCCTCTTTGAACTGGGTAGAAGAAATGGTATACTCAGTATTTTCTTTACATTTTACATTGCATTCCCTTTGTAAACTTGAAGTGCTTCATTCTGTTTTTCTTATCTTCTCTCTTTCTTTGAAAATATGATGGCATTAAAGACTAAGTAAATATGTTCTGGATTGACATGAGCTACATCAGTGATCTAGGTGAAATCCAAATCTGCCAAGCTATCACATCAGTGGGTGTCCTTGGCGCTAACCATTTTAAATCTAAGAAGTACATTAGTGGTGTTTGGCAGTGTTTAACCCCTTTACTGTTAACTTTGGTTTATAAGTATTAGCTTTTGTCTTAGTAAAATTAAGACAACCAGAAGTTATTCTGTTAGTCACTGGAAATGCAGATTATATATATTTGTTGTTGTTGTTATGTGCCGTCGAGTCAGCCCCAACTCATAGTGACCCCTCCTTGGGTTTCCAAGGCAGTATCATTACAGAAGTAGACTGTCCCATCTTCCTTCCAAGGAGTGGCTGGTGGGTTTGAACCTCCAGCCTTCTGGTTAGCAGTCAAGTGCCTTACGCACTATGCTACCAGAGCTCCTATTATATATATAGAACTCTAAATAAATTTATTATTTATTTATTTGCTTAATCCTAGGCCATTGATTACCTCTGCCTATTTTAGAAAGTTGTCTCTACTCTTAAAATGTGAAAGAACTTTATAAAATATAATGCTTTGTATATATGTATTTATACAACTTTAGAAACTATTTCACCTTTAGAAACAGTATTTCACATCTATTGCCTATGATAATGCCTTAAAATAGTGATACCACAGAAGGACTGTACCCATTAGTCTACAAATTTACTATGTATAGAAGATTAAGGGAGAAAAATCTAGCTACTTTTACAAACTTTTAAAAATCTATAACAAAATTCATTGATTTAAAATTATTAAGTACCAATACCCTTGGATACTTTTTTCTTACCAGTTTTGTTCATGTTGAAGATATATGTGCCAGAAGGAAGAACTAATTCAGGAGAGTCTTTCCCATTGGATGAGGCCTCTAAACACCAATAAAGCTGAGAATGTAGAGTTTCTCCACATTTTGCTTTTTAAAACTGTAAAGACCTGTAGACATACTGCCTCGGGAACCCAAGGAGGGGTCACTAGGAGTCGGAATCAACTAATGGCAATGAGTTTAATGACCTGTGCAGCAAATGTAATACCAATGCCCAACAAACCAAAAATCCCCAACTCACTGCCATTTCACTGTTAGTGACCCTCTTTGGATTTCCGACGTGGTAAATGTTCACAAAAGTAGATTGCCTCATCTTCCTTCCATGGAGCAGCTGGTGAGTTTGAACCACCAACCTTCTGGTTAGCAGTCAAGTGCCTTAGGCACTGCACCACAGAGCTCAGAGGGGCATTGATCTCATGGACTGTGGTACTGCACGAGAAAGGGAACCAGTAGTTGGAGAATGTAGTGGCATACAAGGTTAGGCCTTTAAAAGTAAATAAAATATCACTTTATTATACCTTGATGATGCTACAAAAGACTAAGGCACTTGACTGCTAACCAGAAGGCTGGCAGTTCAAACCCACTAGCCACTCCTCGAAAGGAAGATGGGGCAATCTACTTCTGTAGTGATACCGCCTCGGAAACCCAAGGAGGCGTTGCTCTGAGTCAAGTCTGACTTGACAGCACATAACAATAACAGATGACTTACACTTTTGAAGCCGATTCATTTTTTTTCTTTGCTTCTGGATTACAGGTAATGTTTAAGCAGTTAATAATAGTATTCTAACTACAACTTAATTTAACTAATTGTTATTTCCACTTTTTTTTATTTACTTTGCAGCTTTGATTAGTTTGTCCTTTGGAGGAGCAATCGGGCTGATGTTTTTGATGCTTGGATGTGCCCTTCCAATATATAAGTATGTAAATTGTTTCTTTTTGAGTGTTTTAACAGTGAAAATTTTCTTCTAAAGCTACTTTAAAAAAAAAAAAAACTTTATTACTGTAAAGTATTGCAGAAAAAAATGTTCATTTACCATGCACAAACTTTTTAAAAATTTATTCATGTAAAATTTGTAGATTTTAGTATGCCAAGATGCAGACTTCTGAACTCTTACCTGCTCCTTAACTATAGCTAAGTCTCTAACGGCATAATAACACCACTCTAGCCCAGCCCTTCTGCTCAGTTTTGAGCAATTGAGAGCCCTGGGGTGGAGCAAACGGTTGATGAGTGTAGCTCCTAACCAAAATATTAGAGGTCTGTATTTACCCTGAGGTCCCTCAGAAGAAAGGCCTGGCGATCTACTTCTGAAAATGCTATAGACACAGTTCTACTCTGATACACCATGAGTCAGATTCAACAGCGATTAATTTATTGATTAGTTAAAAACACATGAAAACTAAAAAATTTTCAACAAAGCATGTTGTAAGCAGAGTCATAAGACATCAGTTGACTGAAGAAAAAAATCATATGAACAGTTACTTTGTCTAAGATACATGTTGTATGAAAGTCTTAAACCAAATGAACATAAAATAAAAAATCAGTCACTTTTTCCAAAACCACATATCCATACAGCACTTCTTTCTCTGACCCTAGCAACCTGGAGCTAGGTCACAAGTTATAAGGACATCATCCTTCAGACTGCCAAGTAAGCCCAATACTACAGGTGCCAGCTGCAAGCTTGGGAATCCCAGAATTCTCCTTTGTTCTGACTTGCTGACTACATATAGAGGGTACTCCAGTTATTCCTTTAAGATTCTAGCTACAAGCTTGAGGACTCCCCAAGATCCTTCCCTTATAGGCTACAAATTTGGAGGTTCCTTCTACCCCGTGAGGATACTAGCCATAAGCTCAGAGGTTCCCAGCCCTCCTCACTTTGACTTATTGGCTACCACTACAATTTTGGGTTCATTTGATAACTCAGTGGAATGGCTCACAACTTCACAGGAATTGCAGTACTTACAGTTATAGCTTTACGATAGCAAAAAAGGATACAAATGAAGAGACGTATAGAGTGAGATCTGGGAGGGCTTCCAGTGTAGAGCTTCCGTGTCTCAGAGGAACATGCTACTCTCTCACATGCATTGATGACTTTCACCAGCCAGGAAGCCCATAGAGCTGGTGTCCAGAGCTTTTTTGGGGATCCCATTACTTATTGCAAACTCCATCCCTGTGGTTCGTTGCTATCAAGGTGATCACAAGGTATTGAGTCTTTCAGGCCTGGCCAGGTCCCTCCCTGGAGTCACCACATCACCTCACCCAACCTGTAAGTTAAGTGTGGTCTGAAGCCCTTATCAAAGACACTTAATTTCAAGGTTTTTTTTTTTTTGAGATTATGTCTCAGCAGCTGAGGACAAAGACCAAATTCTTTGGGTAAAGTTAATGTAAACCCCACAAGATAGATTTAATTTTTAAAATTTAACTAAAAAAATAAATAGTTCAATAGAAAAATGAATAGCAAATATAAAAAAAACTATGAATTGCTAATAAGTAATTATTAGCAATTTATCAGCCTCACTCAAAATTAATGAAATCCATTGGCAAAGGTAAAAAGATAGGCAAACAGCATTGTCACATACTGTGGGTGTGAGTATAAATAGGTATAAATATTTTGTAGGCCAGTTTGCTTGTAGCTCTCAAAATACGTATTGGTTTTGAGCTAGTACTTAGAATTTCTCATAAAAATATACTTGCAGATGTTTGCAAAGGTATGTTTGTAGAGAGAGACTAGGGAGATGGTATAGCTGTTCATAGCAGCCTTGTTTATAATAGCTCTCCTCCAGGAGGCTGGTGGTTCAAACCCACCAGCCACTCTGTGGAAGAAAGACTGGGCAGTCTAGTTCTGTAAAGATTTACAGCCTCGGAAACCCAAAGGGGGTCGCTATGAGTCAGAATCAACTCAATGGCAAATGAGTTTAGTTTTTTTTTGGTCCCTCCTACCCACTTTCTGTCCCCCACCCCCAAAATCTGGAAGTGTCCTAAATGTCCATCAGAAGAAAAGTGGTTAAATTAGGATGCATACATCCATGGACTGACTAGGCAATCAAAAGAAGGAGGAACAGCTATAAGTACTGATATGTAAAGGTGTTCAAGATACATTGTTAAATTTAAAAAAGACCCATTTATATTTTTAAAAAGTTTTTTACATGAAAATGTGGAGGAATCAATAGGAGAATGGGAAAGAGAAAGCTGAGATGTTATCGTTGTTGTTGTTGTGTGCTGTTGCTAGCAACTGACACCAACTGTAAAAAACGGCAGGGAGGCCACATGTTCTGACCTCCTCTAATCTCACAAGAGGAAGATAGCAGTAACCCAAGGTCTATTACTGCAAGGCCAAACATGCTGCCTCCTTCCAACCCTTTCACCAACCGTTCCTCCCAAAGCACCCACTACCTCTCTCCTGGGTTCGATAATTCGCTGCAGTGGCCACACAGAACTCACAGATTACAGGGTTTATTAGGGAA